CTCATGGGCACTGAAGGACCCTGAACTGTACATGGCGTGGAAGATGGCTTTGTCACGCTGGGCAGCAAGCAAGCCTGTGGGGGAGATGACTAGAAGCCCCTGTGTGCATGTAGGTGTGTGCCATCTCACCCAGGAGCAGGCAGAGACATCCGTGCAGAATGGGGGATTCTCACACTGAGCGTGCTGCCTGGTGTGGCTCTTGGTAAACGTTAGCTGTTGCTAGTTGCTAGCCATTCAGCCACTGTAACAGCATGCCATGGTGCCAGGTTTGCCAGGCCTCTAAAAGTGACAGTTGAGCCCAGTCAGGGGGCAAACTCTTGGGTCATCAGGAAAGTCTTTTTTGCATAGAAAAATGCATCATGACTTTTTTTTTTTTTTTGAGAGGGTTTTTGCCATAGGACCTATGTGCTCACCAGAAAGATATAGACAGAAAGCGAGAAATCACTCCCCAGGGGCGATGGCCACACCACAATCCCTTCTCCTCCATTCTCCTCTTAGGATCTTGAGCACACCTATACACGAACCCAGTGTGAGTTTAAACCACCAGGTCTGGGACTTGAACTGTGGTCAGCTACATGGGAGTCCAGTGACCGCATCCATTATGCCATCTGCTGGTCCCCCATCATGACTTTCTTGGCAACCTAATAAATTGCAGTGGCAGGAGCCCTGTGGCCAACTGTGGGTCTAGATCCCTGGGTTAGCCTGAAAACATGTGTGTGCACATGTCCTAGGAGCTGGAGGCTGGGGAGAGAGGATTGTGGTGTGGGAAGACATTGCAGGGTGCTTTTCTCCCTTCTTCTCTCTCGTGTGCACATATGTGCTATCATGAACAAAATAAATGTAAAAAGCAACAATTGACATGTCTATTTTTCTTTAAAATAAGAGCTACTACTTTATTTTTAGGTTTTTTTTTTTTTTAGAAAAATTTTTGCTAAAGGATGTGTACACTTGCCAGAGAGCCAGAGAGACAGAAAGTGAGAAATCACCCCCCCACCCCCCCAGGGAGATGGCCATACTGCAATCCCTTCTCCTCCATTCTCTTCTCGGGATTTTAGGCACACACACACACACACACACACACACACACACACACACACACATCTGGCATGAATTTCAAGCTGCCAGGTCTGAGACTCGAACCATGGCTAACTATGTGAGATTCCAGTGTCATAACCAATACACTACTTTCTGGCCCCAGTACTGTTTTATCTTTTCTGGAGAATTTCATTATTATGGGTGATGGCCAGAAAACCTATACTGGAAATCAAAGTATTTGAGAGGAATGTACGTGTCTCATGTCCTCTGTTCTGTGCTCCTGGTATTTCCAGGGGGCAGAAAGAGCTACATTAATCATCAGCCTGGGAACAAAAGAGGAGACACGAGCCCAGAGAGTCCCCTTTGTGTGACGCTGCAGATACTCTTCCTTGAGCTAGGAGTGTTCTGTGAAAATTACTTGTGGACCTTCTGGTTGAGAATAAACCAGCCAATATTTGGGGTGGTAAGGTCTGGATGATGGGAACCACGCTGAGGTCCCTCCAGTCTGGGACTCTGGGCCAGCACTTCTCCATTTCCTGAAAGGGGAACTGAACTTCAACACAGGAAGTGGTTTGCTCACACCGGTTCTAGGATGACAAAGGCAAGGCTGCGGCCCTCTGACGGCCCCCTGTACGGAAGAACCCCTCCTGCCGATGGGTGTGTGAGGAGGACAGGAATGGAGGTAGGATCTCCTTTTGTCCAAGTGCTTGGCTGGGGCACCCCACGGACTCGAAGACCTTCTATTGCTAGGTCCACCCAGAAAATTCAGGCTCATTTCTCATCTCAGGCTCTTTAACTTAATCATAACTGCAGAGTCCCTTTTGCCATACTTACAGGTTCTGGGGATCAGGATGTGGATTTTGGGGGGCCTCTATTGTACCTACCACACCCACAAATAGTAAGGGGTAATAAAGGTTTTTAAACACCTTTTTTTTTTTTTTTTTTTTTTTTTTTTTTTTTTTTTGGCTACGGGGCCGGTCCACTCACCAGAAAGGTAGAGAGAGACAGAGACAGAAAGGGAGAAATCCCCCCTCAGGGGATATGGTCATGCCACAATCCCCTCTCCTCCATTCTCCTCTCGGGATCTTGGGCACTTATGCACACACACCTGGCATGAGTTTAAGCCACCAGGTCCAGGACTCGAACTACGGCCAACTATGTGGGAGTCCAGTGACATAGCCATTATGCCAACTGCTGGTCCCGCAAATGCTTTTAATAAGGAAATTAGGTAATAAAATTACTAGTTTTATGTCAATTTACCAGATTTTTTATGACAACCTAGTAGATTTCTCAGTTGTATTTGAAAGACTATTTAAGCTACCAGGTCCAGGACTCGAACCATGGTTGACTGCAAGGGAATCCAGCATCATAGCCATTACGCCAACTGCTGATCCCAAAAGCACCATTGTTTGAGAGTTTCCCAAGTGTCAGATATACTTCTAAACTATTTTATTTCATGGCTTTCTGGAACAATCCTTCAAGGTGTGGATTGTCTCTAATTTTACAGATTAAAGAAAGCTGATGCCCAGAAAGACGAAGGGACGTGCCTGAGAAAATGACAGACCCCGGTTTCGAACTCGAGTATGTCTAACTTTGGAAACTGGGCTCCTAGGCCCTCAAACCTTCTGTTTCCCTTTAGAAAGAGCCAGCTAAGGCTGCTGCTTCTGGCTGCGAGGACTTGTCTAAGGCCCCAGCCAATATGACAGTTCAGGCGTCAGGATGCAGGACTTCAGACAGCAGCCATGCTCCTTCGATTCTTCTATAGCTCTTCCCGATGCCGGTAATAAGTGATGATGGCAGCTAATGTCCCTGGACACTATGCTATGCACTTGGCACGTGTTATCATAGTGGATCCCTGAACCAACTCCAGAAGGCAGTGACCACCACCTCTCCCACTTCACAGGAGAGGACACCGAGGCTTAGGAGGTTCTGTGATTGTCTTCCAAGCCCGCAGCTTGTGAGTGGAGGAGCTGTCATTAGTAACATCCTATCCCCCATGCAGTCACGGTCCACCCTCATTTGCCTTTTCCTCTGTCTTCCAGCTGCCGCATGCAAGAAGTACTCGTCCAAGCTGAGGACCATGGTCTCCGCTCAGGCTCGCTTCCTCAGTACCTACGATGGGGTGGACAACCTTTGCCTGGAGGACATATACACAGAGAATATCCTGGCTGTCCGGAGGGATGTGGGTGTGGCTGGATCCCCAAAGAAGAGCCCGGCTACGCTGGGCCTGGAGGAGCTCTTCCACGCTGGTGGTCACCTCAATGAAGATGCGGACACCATGTTGGTGGTGGGGGAGGCGGGCAGCGGCAAGAGCACACTCCTGCAGCGGCTGCACTTGCTCTGGGCCACCGGGCGGGACTTCCAGGAGTTTCTCTTTGTCTTCCCTTTCAGCCG